TTGCTTAAATGGTTTCAAGTGTAAGTAATAGAGAACCTGGCTCACCTGCCTTAGAACAATAAAGTAATTTATTGGATTGCATAACTAGAATTCCAGAGATGGAGTGGCCTCCCAGGAGCAGGTGATCTAGGTGCTCAGTATCATTGTCTTTGTGTCCTTTGGCCTTACATCCACTTTTGGAGCTGCCCTACCTCTGCTACTCCTTTCATGACACAATGACTAATAGCAGAAACCAGGACTCAGGACTCTGCTCCCTTACCCCCTCCAGACAAAGGAGCTATTTGGACAGGAAAGCTCCCCTAGAAAAATAAAAAGAAACTTAGCTCACAGTCTCAGACAGTGCTCCTTGAGTGTGCTTTTCATGGGTTTGGTTAACTAATGATTCCTGAAGCAGTCATTAATTTGGGAGCAGATGCAGGCTTTCATCTCCTAGAGCTGAGGGTAGATTTACCTTTCTGTGAGCTGATGGCCTCAGTGGGTGAGAGACAAATACCTGAATAAATTTTAAATTTGTTTAACTTTTTGTAAAAGAAAATGGAAAATGAAAGGGCTGGGCAAGATAACTCAGCAGACTAAGTGCCTGTTTAGGCAAACACAGGGACCGCGGTTTGATCCCTGGTTCTGTATGCAATGCTGGGCCCACCCACAGGTGCACTGAGCCGGCAATTGAGTCCAGATGTGGTGGCACACACCTATAATCCTAGCACTGGGGAGGCTGAAAACAGGAGGGTCACTACGAGTCCAAGCTGCTCAGTGAGACCCTGTACCAAATACATTTTTTAAAAAAAGAAAAAAAAAGAAAGAAAAGGGAAGATGGATAATGAATGCAGAACCACAGAGAAGGGACCACCACTGATCACTGATAGGTAAGCCCATGAGAGAGACAGTTTGAGACACCATTGATGGTAAAGTCATGGACATTCTCAAATGTGTGAAAGAAGTCAAAATAAAAATTGCAGAAACAGAACAAAATAAAATGAAACAAGAATCAGCTCAGTAACTAAGAGGAGCTGACCCTAGATGTGCACTGCTTTGGATTGACAGTGCAACAGACAGACCATTTGTACTTCTCCACACCTGACTGTGGATGCCAATATAAATGTTTATGTCTTTGTAGGTCTTGCATTAAGTCTGTTTCTCTAGTAAGCACTGACTGATACAGACTTTGGAATCAAGCACGGTTCTACAAAAACAGAGTGGTGAAGATGAAATTCCTTAATGGGGCTTTAGGGTTGCTGGTCCTGGCTCTCTAATGTGATTAGATCCAAAGATGCCATGGTCTTTCCCAATTCTTTCAGTCTGATAACATTTTTATTTATAAAACTTCAACTCTTTAGACTGTTGATGATAATTCACCAGCTTATTAGGTGCAGTAGATACTGTGAAAAGGAAAGAAATTGCTCAAAGGAAAGGAGCAGCTGGGATGAGGGAAAAAAGAAAAAAAAGAGGTAGTACTTCCCCAATTCTGTGGGGAATACTTATAGTGCTTGGTGTGAACTGTTCAGAGTAATACATAGTGTAGATCCATTGAGGTGTGCTAATGCAGGAGAGTTAACTATTCTAAGTAAGGAATTTAGTGACTTCACATATGAAACTTTTGAATATTTTTGGCTGAGCAGGAAATGTAAGGATGCTGGCTGGTTGCCCTCAGCATCTCTGGACAAACTAATGAAGGAAAACAATGAACTCAGAGCATCCATAGGAGATCAAATCTCCTGACTGGAAGGACAAATTAATAAAGGAAGATATAGAACTCAAAGACTCAAATTCCCATCTCTAGGCACACATAAAAGTTTTAAAAGTTTCTAAGTATGTCCTGAAAGAGAATCTCCTTAGCTGTGGGGATGGGGCTGTGATTGCAGAAACTCATATGCAGACCTCATAGTTCAGTTAGCTAAAACAAAGTGAGTTGAATGTTTAGCCTGGAAAGGCATTTGAAATAAAGTAAGGGCACTGGTTATAAAAGAACGAGATCCCATCAACTAGAATGGAGATGTTTGGGAAGGTCTTGATGAAGCTGGGAATGTTGAGCTCCTAGACTATAATGAGACTGTTTTATCGGAGTAAGTTTTCCCCACCCGCACGCACTGTGATATTGACCTCTACTAGTACACCTGAGGAACCAAGTCTATGTTCACCAAGCTTGATAATACTGACAGTCAAGGCCAGAAAGATAACTCAGCAGACTCAACCTGCTTAAGAAAGCTCTGGGACTGGGGTTTAATCCCTGGCACCACACACCAGCCCTGCCCCAGGTGCAATAAACTGGCCACAGAGATAGGGCATGGTGGTACATGCCTAATCTCAGCATTGGGGAGGCTGAAAACAGGAGGATCACTATGAGCCCAAGCTGCATAGTGAGACCTTGTACCAAATACATAAAAAAACTAGATCAAAAAATACTGATACACTTCAGGATACATCCTCATGACCCACTTTTGCCTCTAGGTCTATAACTGGGCTCCAATCACAGAAGGCTCCTAAGAATGTGGTACATAGTGGAATCCATGAGGAGGTCCAGTGTTATATCAAAGCATGTCTTGAGTTTTCTAACTCTTACAAGCAGAGGCCCAGAGAGCATACACTGGAATGGATTTTACAGATGTGGGATAATAGTAGCCAAAATAGACACTGGGTTGAGTTTGTTGGTATGAGTCCATTAAGGGCAGGGATTCTGAATTTAAAGCTGTACCTCATGGAGTAAAGAAAGGTGTTAACAGTTTATTTGGCTGGTTGGCAGATGATCAAAAGATGGCCCACTATAAATGAGTTAGAGATGTCTGCTATTCTTCGGCTCCATGTGGATGAGGGGAAATGAGATGCTGGAGTGGATTTGTCATGTCAAACCTAACTGACACATTGCTGTGAACAAAAATGCACCCTTCACTGACACCTTGAGAAACAGAGTCCAGAGGGGAGCATTGACTAAATAGCATCCCTCAAGAGTCCTCTCATTGCTCTTATTCATACACCAGACCAGATAGTGGGAACTGTAGTACTCAACTGAGAAGATTAAAGGTGATGGGTTTGATTGGATGAGAATAGTAGGTGTCATGTGTGGAGATTAATTGGAGGCACCTAATCACCAGTGTCAGTGTAGATGACCTTACTGTTAATCTCTTGCACAAGCAGAGAGAGAATCAGAATGCTCTGATACCTGTCATCCAATGGTGTTGACGGATTAGCCATGATGTCCCCCAAAGTGAAATAGATGACAAACCTACAAAATTTTTGCTATATTTATATAACTGAAACAATTTAACAACATATGAACAGAAATTAACTTCAGTTTGTAGTAATGAAATTATGACCCCTGAGGCAGTTCTTAGATTTGAACTAGGTTAAAGACCTAGAACCCCTTGAATAAATGTGAAGCTGGGTCCCCTGAAGGAAGGCTCCTGTTGTACCAGAAATATTTACGGTCAGTCTTTGTCCTGTCTTTCCCCAAAGGGACCCAAGACCATCTGCCAATGTGAGTATACCTTGGGGGAAGGGAAAGGATCAGACATTTTGAGGTCTACTGGGTACTGGTTCTCATCTAATGCTGATTCTGGGGGATCAAAAACATCATTGTAACCCTCCAATAAGAGCTAGGACCTATGCAAGGCAGGTGATCAAAGGAGGTGTAGCAAATGTCTGATTCACAGGGGGTCCAGTAGGTCCTCAAATCCATCCTGGCATCACTTCCTTTGTTCCCTAATTCACAAGTGGGGTAGACCCACTTAGTACTTAGCAATTTGTTCCTTATTCTGTGAGGTGAGAGCCACTATGGTTGGAAAGGCCAAATGGAAGCCACTGGCCTTGCTCCTACATCATAAATGAGTAAACCAAAACCAACATCATGTCCATGAAAGGATTAGTGCCACTATCAAGGACTTTAATGATGGAGTCAGGGGTGGTAGACCATTCTACATCTCCATTCAGTTCTCCCATTTGTCTTGTTCAGAAGACAGGTATATCTTGGAGAATGAGTGCAGATTACTATAAACTGAATCAGTTGGTGACTCTGATTGCAGTTGCTGTTCCAGATGTGGTGTCTTTTTTGAGCAGAGGGACACATCTCCTGGTACTTGGTATGCAACTATTGATTTGGAAAATGCCTTCTTCTGCATACTGATCCAGAAAGCCCATCAAAAAGAATTTGCCTTCAACTGACAAGACCAGCTATACATCTTCCCTGCCCTTCCTCAGGATTCTATTAACTCTCAACCCTTTTTTCACTATTTCACAGGAATCTTGATTGTTCTCCTCTTGACTTGTTCATTACATGGATGATATTATGCTGAATAGGTCAAGTGAGCAGGGGCTAGAAACCAATCTTGATTTGTTAATAATGGGTTCGAGAGCCAGAGGATGGAAAATAAATGCAAATAAAATTGAAGGATTTCTATCTTAGTGAAATTAAGGAGTCCCATGGTGGGGGCATGTAGAAATATGTCTTCTCAGGTAAAAGATAAGTCATCACATCTGGCTTCCCTACAACTGAAAAAGAGGCACAGTGCCTAGTGGGCCTATTTGGCTTTTGGAGGCAACACATTCCTAACTCGAGTATTTTATTCAGAAAGATGATAGTTTTAAGTGGGACCCACAACAGGGAAAGGCTCTGCAACAGGTCCAGGCTATTGTGCAGGCTGCTCTCCCTCTGGGGCCATATAATCCAGTAGAATTGGTACCCAAAGAGTCAGTGTCAGGTAGACACGTTGTTTGGAGTCTCTGACAGGACCCCATAGGTGAACTGCAGTGGAGGCCTTTAGGATTTTGGGACAAGGCTCTGCAGTCATCTGCAGACAACTACTTTCCCTTGAAAAACAGATCTTGGCCTTTAACTGGGCCTTAGTGGAAACTGAATGCTTCACCATGGGCCACCAGGCTACCATGTGACCTGAGCTGCATGTAGTGGACTTGGTATTATCTGATCCACTGAGTCATAAGGTTGGACATGCACAGCAGCAGTCTACCATTCATTGCAAATGGTACATACATGATTGAGCCATATTAGGTCCAGAGGGTACAAGTTAGTTCCACAAAGGAGTTGCCCGGATGTCCATGGATCCTACTCCTGTTATGTTGCCTTCTGCTTCACTGAATGTATATGCCTTGTGGTATATATCATATGATCAGCTTTCAGAGGAACAGAAAGGTAGCACCTGGTTTGTGGGTGGTTCTGCTCACTAGTCAGGCACTGCCCACAGGTGAACAGCTGAAACATTTAGTCCCTGTCTGAGACATTCCTAAAGGACAGTGGTGAAAGGAAATCTTCACAGTGCGCAGATCTCTGGGCAGTGCACCCTTGTAGTACCTTTTGCCTGGTAGAAGAAATGGCCAGAAGTGTGAACATATACTGACTCATGGGTTGTAGTCAATAATCTGGCTGGCTGGTCAGGAACATGGAAGGAGCATGACTGGAAAATTGGTGACAGAGACAGATGTATTTGAGGAAGAGGTATGTGGCTAGACCTCTCCAGAGGGCAAAAATGTAAGACATCTGTATCCCATGTAAACACTCACCCAAAAGTGAGCTCAGTGGAAAAGGGCTTTAATCATTAAGTGGATAAGATGATCTGTTCTATAGATAGTGATCAACCTCTTTCTTCAGCCAACCTTGTCACTGTCCAATGGACTCATGAACAGAGTAGCCATGGTGGCAGGCACGGAGGTTATGCATAGGTTTAGCAACATGGACTTCCACTCACCAAGGCCAATCAGGCCACAGCCATGCTGATTCCCAATATGCCAGCAACAGAGACCAACACTGAGCCCTTGATATGACATTCATTAGGGTAAGTAGCTGGTTAATTATTTTGGACTCCTTCCATCATGAAATGACCGCACTTTGTCCTCACTGTCATACACACTTATTTTGGATATGAACTTGTCTTCCCTGCACATAATGCTTTTGCCAAAACTATCACCATGAACTTGTAGAATGTCTTATCTAACATAGCACTGCCTCTGGCCAAGGAACACCTTTTACAGTCAGAGGAGTGAAGCAGGGGGCTCATGCTTAAGGCATTCACTGGTCTTGCCATGTTCCTCACCATCCAGAAGCAGCTAGAGTGAAAGAAGGTTGGAATGGTCTGTTGAAGACACAGTTACAGCCCCAGCTAAGTGGCAATATTATGTCAGGCTAAGACAAAATTCTTCAAAAGGCTGTGTGTGCTTTGAATCCATGTCATCTTGATAGTCTGTGCTTCCCATAGCCAGAGTTCATGAGTTTAAGAATCAAGGAGCAGAAGTGGAAATGATGCCACTCACCATTACCTTTAGCGATTCACTAGCACAAATCATGTGTCCTGTTCTTGTGACCTCATGTTCTTCTGGCTCAGAAGCCAGTTCCAGAAGGGGGAAGGTTTACACCAGGAAGCACAAAAATGATGTCATTTAACTAGAAGCTAAGCAACCACACTGTCCATTTTGGTGTCCGTATGCCTGAGGAAACAAACTAAAAAGGGTGTCACAGTGTTGGCAGGAGTGAACCATCCACATTCTCAAGGGGATATTGGACTATTACTCCACATCAGAAGAAAAAATATGTCTGGTGAAGGACATGCCCTAGAGTGCCTCCTGGTGTTATCATGCCCTGTTATTAAAGTCAATGGGAAACTACAACAACCCCATCCAGACAGGATGACAAATGGTCCAGAACCTTAAGGAATGAAGGTTTGAGTTATCCCATGAGGGAGAGAGAACCAAGACCTGCTGAAGTGCTTGCTGAAGGCCAAGAGAATACAGAATGGATAATGGAAGAAGGTAGTTCTACATGGCAACTATAACCCTATGATCAGCTGCAGAATCATTGATTGTAACTGTAATAGTTCTCTCCTAATATACATCCAATGTAATATTTTGTTGACAGACTTAATATTGGTTCTGAAGTATTGCTAGATGTATATTGCAATGTTCAAGTTATGAAAGGTTAGGAGTGAGCACCATCCAAAGAAAACCTGCCTGTTATTCTCAGGAGGGAATTAATGCATTTCCATTTGTATGCTGGATGGTTGTACCATGCTGGTGTAATATAAGCTTGTCTTTGTATCTAAGTCTATGGCTTAAAGAAATGTATCTGGCTTTCAAGGTGACAAGAGGTAGGTTGTGACAGTTAACTGACTGTGTCAACTAGAGTGAAAAATTCCCAACTGAAAAGACTCAGCATAATTCTGGGTATAGAAGGCCCACCCTAAGAGGATTGTGTCCTGAAAGGTATAAAAAGGACAGAAAGAAGGCTTGTTTCTGTCTTCTCCAAGCAGCTACAGTGTCAATCTTTATCTTGGATGTTGTCCTTTGGCTTCCAGCACAGACTCTTCAGTCCCCCAGTGGACAACCTTTGACCTTCTGATTTGAACCAACAGGACACTCCACTGAGCTCCAAGCCTTCTGTCTTGGTTACTCTTCCCTCATTGTTGGGACAAATATTCAACACTCAAACTGAAGGAAGGGGGCCAGCCAGATAGCTCATGGGACTAAAGCACCTGTCTAGGCAGGTGCAGGGACCAGAATTTGATTCAGAATGCTGTCCCACCCCCAGGGCATGCTGAGAGGAGAATGAGACTGGGTGTGGGGGTACAGGCCTGTTATCCCAGTGCTTGGGAGACTGAAAACAAGAGCATCCCTATGAGTCAGATCTGTGTAGTAAGACCTTGTAGACAGACCCTGTACTAAATACATTTTAAAAAATTGAAGGAAAGAAAGGTTTATTTAGCTCACAGTTATTGGAGGTTTCAGTCCACACTCAGCTGTCTCCAAGGCTGAGTGGCACATGACAGAGAGCAACCTTTTATGGTGGTGGAAAAGAGCAAGAGAGCAAGGGCAGGAGTAGCAGCAACAGTGGCTACAGAGAGCAAGGCTATCTCCCTCACGTTGCATTCAGGCTATCCCCCAGCTGAGTGTAATACTCACCCATAATCCCTGCAGCACTCACACCCATAATGCCAGTGGATCATGTGTTAATCACAAACTCTAGAAGTCTGCCCCATGACTGCATGAGGCTCTGTGGGGTCAAATAGACACAAACCATAACACCTTCCCTGGGTCCTTCATCCCTAGTTCACACACAGACCCTTTGCGCTCTTCCACACCTGACTGTGGGCATCCATTGTAAGCCAGTCCTGTAAATTCTTAAATATTTATATATGTTGCATTAAGTCTGTTTCTCTAATAAGCACTGACTGATACAATGTTGGATCCTTATTTTCTATTTAGCAGAGACTTGAATCTGAAAAAACAATAAACCTGTGCCACCAAAGCAATGACAATGATACAGGGGAAAGAAACTCCCAACCTGCTAGATATCTGGTATGTGTTCATGTTCTCTAACATGAATTTTAGAAACAATGGAGGTTAAGAGCAGAATATATTTACTGGGGGAAAGAAAGCCTCTGTCCATGAAAGAGACAGAAGAGGTCCCAAGTAGTTTCCCAAAGTACTTGCTTTTTCTAGGGATTTGTACACAGCAAATCTATGTCACAAAGTGGGTCCAAGGTAAGAAACATGGGAAATCACAAGATAGGCATGAAATGGGACAAAACTATGGTTCCAATAGATTACAAACATAACTGCTCAGGCAAAATAGATTAAAGCAGTATCACATGGGGAAGCCAGTCAGGTAGCAAAGGGGCATGAGTATAGCAGGGGCTTTTCCTGTAGGGGGTTGGGTTAGTGGTTCTGCCTGGCTTTCTCAAGGTGATTCCTACCTAGTTAGACTATCAATCCCCGTTGTTTGTTCTTAGGAAGTTTGTGGGTGCATTTGCTTCATGTTTTATCTAAAGGGCTGGCCCACAGCGGAGGCTTTTATCTCACCCGCAGTTGTAAGGCCTTGCTCCTCTTCTGCATTGGTTCCTTCCAGCTCATGGCTCGATCTGACTACCTATAATATCTTTATCTAACTTAGATGCTTACAACAGTAATATTGAGTAGTAAAAGAAAGTCCGGATAACTGAGTCTAAGTAGGTAGATCAATTGAAATTAATGAAAAATTTGTTTATACAGTCAACAAATGC